AGCTTGCTATAAGAATTCCGTATATCTTCAACTCAAAAGATTCTATATTGTAACTCTTTGAACTACATCTTAATCCTCAATCTAAATCTATTACCCGAATCAGTATAGCCTTGCCAGATTAGGGCAAAGTTATTAGAACCCTATCCAGCCCGCCTGCCCCGTGATACTGGTATTGCTATTCCAATTCGTTTTCCTGCACTGCAATCTTTACCATACAATATTTCGCAGCTTTTCGAATAAGGATAAAAGGAAGCATTTCTTTCGAAATACAATTCTTTAGCTTTTTTTGTATATTAAGCTATTTCAAGAGTTAACTTTGTTAAAAACTAGTAAAGTTATAATTTATCTTTATTATATTATTATACTTAGCAATAGCTAATCGATATTAAAGAAATATTTTGTGTATATTTTTATCAAACAAGTGTTTATATTTATACTTGCTAGCTAAATAAAGCAAACAGCAAGATTAACCAGACAATTATCCAGGAAGTTGATAGCAAATATTATTTCCCTTGCCAGAAATACAACTATATATACAGCTAGTATAAATCCAGTTGTTCTTTTGAATACATTGTTTTTATTGTAATACCGTCTTTTTTAGTGATCTTTTATTTGGAGATTCTTATTTGTTAATATTAATGAAACTAATGTTTTTGTGATGGGATATATCGAATTTGCAATTAGGTTGATTTTGATGTAAGGCTTTTAGAATGTTTTTCTCAATTATTTTGTTATCATTTTCGAAATCACAAAAATAATTATCACGCTAAAAGTGATATCACCGATAGCATTAAGCTAATTGGGTTTATATAGGCATATTCTCTCGTGACACACCCCCGAGATTGCTGACTAGCTGGTTGTAGGCAGTAATCTCTGTACTAGTCTCATTGAGTCATAAATGCGCAAATCTCTTCCTATCTCCATGTGATGCCAAATCTAGATTCTCTTTTGATTAGATATAACTAGTATTAGGTTCTCTCTGGATATATCTAATAGACTGAGTGGAGATAGTAGGGCAACAGAGCAGGGTCCTCACATTAGCTCTAATAGGCTAAGATCAGATGACTAATGTGGGTCTGTTGAAATACCCTCTTATAAGTGAGCCCACGAAAAACCATTACAAGAGAGTATAATAAAGTAAAGAATTATGTCACTACACTATAAACGCATACCGGGCTTATAACTATCACGCTAAAAGTGATATCACCGATAGCATTAAGCTAATTGGGTTTATATAGGCATATTCTCTCGTGACAATAATATATCGCTGTGATCAATTTGTTAGTGAATTTTTTTTTATAATTATTAATATAATTGATTAAAAAATTATATTCTTCCTTTGAATTCTGCTTTGAAAAATAATAGAACGGATATATTTAATGAGTATATCGAAAATCGACCCTATTCTTAGGTATATTACCTTTAGTATTTGTAATCACACTTGTTAGATAAGCTGATTGCAAACTAGAGATATCAAAGAAAGTTTTATTTATATATATCTTCGTTATTCAACTTATCTTCCTTATTATTCTTCTCTTTACTAACAGAATCATTATTATTCCTACTACAACTCGATTTCTCCTCTTCCTTAACAAAACACTTGTTTTGCATAATAGAAGAGGCAAATGCTTTTTTTATTGTAAATTGTAAAGAAGTATATTAACAAAATAAATATAAAAGAAAAATAAACAACTTATTGCTATATACACATTCTCTTACTATTTCAGTTGTACTAACAACAATTTGCTCTTACTACTGTGTTTTCTTAATAGTATAGAAAGCATATTGATTATTAATCGAGGGATACAAAAAAGATGAGTGATCAGAAAAGATTTAGAAAAAAAAGGGAAATTCGGGCGATCTATATGTTTCAAAGGCTTTATATTATTGTTAGGCTATAGAACGGTTTCCTTTGTTTCCTATACACCTTCCCGTCACAAAAAAAGCAAAATTTGCGCACACACCTGTTTATCATATCATGCTATAATGTAAACAACAACATCTCATTAGAATCGCTAATACGTTTACGGATTAGGTAATTGTAAAACTTGAGGGCAAGCTTTTTCGAAAGGGGGGATAGTGTTATGGATCGTACTCAATCACAATTGTAATTGTTTATATGCGTGCTTGCGCATGTACACGATTATGTGTATATAGCTAGTATATAAGAGCGCTCTATAAGCACTTTGCTCCCGATTCTGTAGTTGTAGATTCTAAGGATAAATTGTATTCTGCTCTTGCAGTTCTTCTAAGGCAAAGTGTCACACATACCTCAAATCCCACCTCTCACCCTCCACTTCATATACTCAAAGTCCTCTCAAAATCTCTTAAATCTAAATTCATATACTATTACTATCCCCTATTTCATCTGTCATTCAACATTTCATCATCTCAACTTTCTCACTTGCTCACTCGCTTACTCATCTACATTCTAGCTATATAATCTTAAAACTATTAACATGTTGATTCATATTATATCATGAGTAAATATCATATCGATCAATATAAAGAAGCTCAGAATCTATTATATTTTGTTTTGATTGATTGATTGATTGATTGATTTCATTTACGTCCACGTTCAGTCTAAGACTATATAGGACGGCTAAGCCTCTAGAGGCTCTAGCAGGTAACTTTTTATTCTACAAAGATGGATATATTCGATTTAGGGAAGTGAAAACAAATGTTGGGGACCAGTGCCCGCTTATTATACGCATTGCATATAATAAGTATATTTTGTTTTAGTATATATACTTTATATACTATATAAACTATATTATATATGATCAAAAACAGTAAAGATGATATTATCGATATTAGTATTAGTATCAATACTATCTTCTATTCTGGTCTCTTTTTATTCATCTATTTGTTCATCTATTCAATTATCTATTCATCTATCTATTTATTCATATATTCATTTATCTATTTATTTATTCATTCATTTATTACTATTCCTATTTCTATTTCATCCTATTCTTATCCTCTCTTCATCCTTATTCAGTATTCTCAAATCATTATATCACTACACTCTCTATCTAATATCTTTACTTTATTTTTCTCATCCTTCTCTAAATTCTCACCTCCTATCTTATAATACCCGATTCTCGCCTCCTAATTCTCGCCTCCTAATTCTCTAACTAATATTTAATTATCCAATAATCATTTATATACAATATAATATAATCCAATAATCCAATAATACTATTCTCCTTTCTTCTCTTCATTTTTCTATTTCTCTATCTATTTCTCTATCTCTCTAATCCTATTCTCCTTTACTTTATAATACATACATACATTTCCCTACCAACCAATCAATTTAATTTATCCATCAATCCATCTCTCCACCATCCAATATCAACCACTCACTCGAATCTCACAATATAACATTCCCCATCTACAATCATACAAACACATCCTCGCCTCCCTCATAAACTTCAGATTTCTTAATTCTCAATTTTCGCCTCTCGCTTCTTAACCTCCCTCTACATCAGCGAAATTATTATTATTATTATTATTAGTAATTTTCAACCGGGCCGTTTAGGCGAGCCTCCCAGGGGGCATTACAGTTAGGCTAACTGCAGGATAATCTTTTAATTTATATGATTCCTTTTTCCTAGGGATAGGGTCTCAATATTCTTAGTAGCCTTCCAAACGATGGCTAGTGTACTTGTACCTTTGTCTCCAATCCTCTGAGTGTTTCTGTGCACGCTTTCCGATTTCCTATATAATATTTGTTTGAAAGCTGCTTTATTCTATAAGGGTAGCTTTTATATACATTCTATTGCAATATGGTATGCCGCGTGCTTCAATTTTCTTCCACATAGCTTTTCTAGATCTATTCCCTCTTATTCATCAGCGAAACAACCGACGGGAATTAATCAATATTCGAAAGAATATAATATTAAATCTAAGAGATTCTAATTATCAATATAAAGAAGACTCAAATTTATATTTGATCTTTTCGGATTTTAATATTCATTTTGAATTGAATTAATAATTCAATAAATGAATGATAGGTCAATTTCCGCCTATTTTTTTTTCGCTTACGTAGAGCCCCCCCTCAATAAACAATTAACTATAAGATAATTACACAACTATACATTTTATTCCTCTGTCTCTCTACCCAATCTCCTCAACACATCATTTCGGGGCGAGCCAGCTCGTTAGTGTTTCGGAGCGCCTAATATTTTCTATTATTTCATATTATTTTCATTGTTATTCTTATTATTCTTGTTATTCTTATAATCACACTCTAACTTTATTCATTCACTCATTCATTCATTCACTCATTCATTCATTCACTCATTCATTCATTCACTCATTCATTCATTCACTCATTCATTCATTCACTCATTCATTCATTCACTCATTCATTCATTCACTCATTCATTCATCCATTCATTAATTCATCAATTCATTCTACTCAAACACTCAAATACACAAACAGATATATCCATTTTACAACCCCCATACCACTTTCTTTCCCTCCTCTCTTCTTGCTCTCCACTCATTCAAATTCGATCTTTTCAAATACCCTGAATAATTTCAAGTCTCACCCCCCTCATACCAAAAACCAATACCAAATAAACATCCCAAATCCCTAAAATAACGCCTATAAATGCATGCACGCGTCTAGTCCCATTTTGTTTTCCCCTCTCCATCTTCAAGTACCATCACCACACACCTCACCCCATATACTACACCACATCACACCCCAACCCGAACTCCTCTCCTCTCCTCTCAACCCCCATCCGCAAAATTTCAGAAAAATAGAACTTCAAAATGGGGGTATACACAAACAAAACCTTACTATGATACATAACAATGTCCCAAAACACCACCATCCTATCCTATCCTATCCATCAATCCATCCACCCAAATAACTCCATGTTCAATGCTTAAAGCACCATGCCCACTTCTCACACACCATCTTAATCTTATATATTCTCCCCCTTATCCTCTTCCACCCCTCCCCTCAATCTCTTCTAATCACATACCACCTATACCTTATTCAACCCCCCACTCGAGAAACTTCCGTCTTTATCGTTCCTCACCGTTTCCGCAGTCGAAACTCCACTGCTAGCTTCTACTCTATCTTCCGTCTCTGCTGTTGCCAAATCAGCCAAACGTTGAAGACCTTGATTTGCAGCCGTAATCATATGTTGATTGTCATCTACTTTTGCATTCACCACTGCACTTGGAACTTGTTGCGCTCCTTGACTTTGACCTTGAGACAAACCAATCGATCCTCTTCTTTGCGCTCCCAAATGATCGATCAAGAATTCCATTGTCACTTTATCCCAAGACGAAGATGCAAGCCGACCATCTAACATAGTTTTCAATGTAGTTTCTGCCTCTTTCTTTGTATTCTCAATTTGAAGAAGATTTGGAAGTGCGAGAGCTGCGAAACATTTGTAGTAATTTACTAGAGGAGATTTAAGGTCTGGATTGAAAGAAAGTTGGCTGATAATATAATGAGTAGCTCTCATTTGTTCATCGGCGTCTTCTTGTGGTCCTTGAAGAAGTAGTATAAGGAGATAAGCACACCAATAATTGATATGAAGAACGGGAGATTCGATCGGTGTGATACCAGAATTACTCAACTCATGACGTACGAGTTCGAGTTGGGTTTTGAGGAGTCGAGAGTGAAGTCCACGATGAACTGCGAGCGGCGGCAGGTCATTTGTAGCAAGATTAACCTCTGTGTAGTTTCCAATAACGACGGCGATACCTATATAGTTAGCAACAGACAAGCAGATAGGATGAGAGAACTGTACTCACGAACTAAATGGTATGTAACTTCACCCAATATAGCTCGATCATCAGGATAAATTTGTGCAACCGAATCTGGAATTTGTATTGGACAAGCTCTCACTGCAGCATTCCATCTCTCCATAATGACCAAACTGAACCAAACTCGCCTCGCATGCTTGTCATCAGAATCCGGATCATTGTTCGATTTGTCAATTGGTTTGTGTGCGTGCAATTTCGTAGAATATGCGAAGCCAACAGCAGTACTCAACCAAACAGATGGTAACTGAATAATTTGACCGTCCTGAATATCACAAGGGAGATTGTTGGCTTCAATTGAAAGCAGCATCATTATTTGAAGGTATGCGATCATAGTAGTAGGGGAATGGATGGTTTGCGAATCATATTGAACTGTGTGAATGAGTCTGACAGCGTTTGTGATACCTCGTGGCTTGAGGGAAACTGCGGTTGGAAATAATCTGATTGCAGCATATAGCGCCTCCCAAAAAGCATGCCTGACAGGAGTAGGACAAGCAGAAAGCCGAGAAATTAACCTGGCTTTAGTGAGGGATAGTATAGGATAAGTTGGGTGTATGAATTTGTAATAACTAAATGTTGTTAGTAATTATGCAGTTTGTACATTCTAAGTGACTACATACTTTTCAAGAAGAGAATCGTCAATATAGTCCACAGGATCTTCAGTATGAGGTTGGGAGGTATGATTTACTGCTTCAACAGAACCACTAACATCAGGCGCGTTCACCCACTTCTGCTGAGGTACTGTCATGTTTGGCGAGTAGTTCTGCTCTCTGGTAGGTAGTTGAGTGGTACCAGGTAGTGATGCACTGGTAGGATATGATGAATTTGGAATTGAAGAACGCGGCTGTTCTTGAGGGATCCAATTGGAAGCTGACCTCTGTGGTTGATTCTGATACGGAGAATTAAATTCGCCGACCCCGGAAATTGAAGAATAACCGCGCTTGCGGGGAAGTTGCTCAGGGTTCGGAGTCGGAGAAAACTCTTCGGAAGGTCTTCTTTGTAAAATATCTTGTGACTGTTGATATTGAGGCATCTCACTTCCTTGCACTTGACCTTCCAATGTATTGATCCGATCAGCAAGCTCTTTAATGTAGCTACTACTTTGTCAGTGAGTTTCCTTCAAGATCATGATTGCTCGTTTTACACAACCTACCCTTTACTTGGTCCACGTTTCATAGGTTGCCTGCTAAATTGACAATGAACACCAACTCTCTTACAGTTTGAGCATATATCTTCATTTCCTGGCTCATTGGCATTGCATCTGATTTTCTTTCTCCGACATTCATCACAAGCTCTTGATACCTTTGATCTCTTTCTTCCAGCTGGAGATATTGAATCATCCTCATATTGAGGACCCACTTCCATAAGTCCATGATTCATAGGTGTATGACCTCCATGCATTTGATGATCTGGTTGGTATTGATGGTTCATGTTGACATTTCCTTGACCTCGAGAATCTGGATTTTCGCTCATTCCACGATTGGTTCCCATGTTTGGCTGTATACTACGTGATAATTGAGCATCGGCAGATAATTGTTCTGCAAGTTGCAGCTCATCGGGAGTGGGTAGATGTTGCTGATGTTGATTGGGATGTGGATTCGAGGAATTTGGTCCATAGAAAGGTCCACCACTACTATCAGCAGCAGTCGCGTTAGGAGATGGATAGGATTGCATTGTTGGCGCGTCGTTATGGTTCATTTTTTTCACTTTGACTTCATCGGCGCAAAAGGAAGGAACGTTGATTAGGTTCCTAATTGAGAAAAAGTTAGTTAAGAGAACTCCTATCCATAGTACTTTTATTCACTTCCATCTCGATCCCAATAGCTACCGCACGTAGGTTATTGTTATAGTCCCGTCGTTCTCAAACAACGAAATTGGCTTCAATGAACTTACTTGAAAGGATTTTTGATGGAGAAGAGGTACGCGACTCCAATTAATTAGTTTGCAGAACAGTAAACAAGCAGATGCTCACTGTACAACAATCGGAAGTTGTAGATTGTAACTTTGGATGATATGATCAATATGGAAATTTTCGGTGATGGAAGAACTGTTGTCCGAGAAGCTGTACAAAGATAGAAAGTAAGCTGAAGCATTTATCAGTCAAGGTCCTGGTGGTCCCTCATTAAAGGTTTGTGGATTAATAAGATGTCCAATGAGATTCACAAGCTCGAGACACTAATGAGAATCCTCAAATAAGGTGGAGCTTTCTTCCATACCTCGGTGATAATAACATCCGATGGGGTAAATATGTTCATTCAATGTTTGACATTCAATTCAATGTTCCATCCATCCATATAGCCAAAAGTCCCACAGGACCTTGAGTGAAGCAAGAAGCAAGCAATAACAATATCGAATTGAATTGAAGCGGAACTTTCGGATAACCCTCGAGGAGGAGTTGTTAGCGTTTGACTTTAGACCTAGAGTAAGAATGAGAGAAGTAAGAAAGCAGTAAGAAGTGGCTTTTTGAATGATGATGGAAGTCATGGGAAAAGGATCATAAGAGAATGAATGTGCAATAGGTAGATAGAAGGAATAGACCAAGGAAGGATTGATTGGCCACTCACTCAAATATCGAAACGATTCCCAGAATGATATGTGGTCCGGTATCCGTATCTTCAATGATGTTTCTTTACTTTTGTCTATCTTCTCTCTCGCCCTCTTCCGTGATAGAGATGCAACTCAAGATGTTGTTTCACAAATACCTTGCTTGTACTACATCACAATAAAACACTTCGGAGAATTGGAGAACCTATCAATTGTTAGCTTTCCCATATCTATTCATGGTTATACACACCCAACTTTCGTAGACGAAGAGAGGTGTTGATCTGACCTTGAATTCTTGAATCTTTGATCTTCGATGTTGTGGTTGCAGTTGCATCAAGAAATTCATTCCTCCATCCTTTTCCATTCATATTTCACCAGTAGGTAGGTAGGTCATAGTCATGATCATGTTCATGTTCATAATTGAAAGAAGCTTCCTCGGCAGGTGATCTTTCCACCTTGTGGAGAAGGGGGAGGGAGGGGACGGGAGCTACGAATGTGGAAATGTGGGGGAGCAGGGTGTGAACAATATATCCACGGCCGGGTTAACTAGGTATCTCGGAGAAGGGTTACGAGTGAAGTCTCAAGGGCAAATCGTGATTTATTTATTTAAATTCCTGTTGATCCACCATCGGCCACATCTACAAAGACTGACCAGCCTCCATGTAAGCCCTCGGGAGCCCTTGCAGAAGGGTTGGGGAGGATATCCTCGTACTCATATCTCCTTCTCCTTATTGGACCTATCATCTATTGCCCTGCCAATTCCACTTCAATCTTTTGGAGACGAGTTCACGCATACATATGGTATCCTGCCAACTTTCCCCAAACAACCGATGGAATCTATACTCATTTGATCACTTGCATAGCACCCTCATGCATTTATCCAGCCTAAATACCCCAGACCATCCGACCCATTCCTGAAGAACTTACAATTCCACCACTTCCCTCTTCCTCTCTGCCGAAAGAAGTCTGATCTCGCCGGAAGAAGAAGTGCTATTGTTCCGTTCGAGTCTACACCATTGATATCCTCCTAATCTCATCATGCGACGTAAATCCTAAGAATGCAACTTGTGCCCATATTCCACTCCCCGATGTAACGTTCAAGTCACTCATCAGCCTTTACCGGCGGGGTATCAGTGCCGTATTATGAACTAAGATGTGACCCTTTCAATATTAATAGGGACGTGTCTGTCTTGGCAAACAGGATCTTCTCAATCCCTCTTACCTCCAACTTCTCCGTTTATTTTCCCTTTCGCCTACAGCGCAGAAAGGAGGGGGGCTCGGTCAAATGTTTTAGAATGCCGAGACCTTCTGTTACAACTGGAAGATATTTATCCCATTTCCTCCGCCTTCGAAGAAACATACTTTACCTATTGTTTGAACGTAGCATGAATCGTCCATGCAATCTGACAAGCGTGCAAGTGACTTGTCGAATCGCACCAATCTCACCTAGTATCGAATCACCACTTGATCAATCTTTAATAAACTTTCAATAACGAGATACCAATAGTCACAACTCCCCTCCATATCTAGATCGTGTTCGATCAAATTTGCGATTCGGATGCCACCATTTTCCCTGTCAGCGCTTTCTTACTACTTTTCTTACCACCCTTTTCGTGCTTTTACAATACGGATCCAGTCCGGTGAAGTCAACATCTAATCTATCAGCCGATCTGTTGACTTGTTTATAGTGACATTGCGTAAAGCATGTTGGGAGCGACTGATGCAAGATAAAGTATTCTTCGTATCGTGACTTCGGCACAACCGTTTTGCCTGCAGAGTCACCTATGTAACATGGGTTGGCATCCGGTCCTCAATTTGTGGACGGAAAAACATATGAACGCGAAATCATCACTAAAGTCAGTTATTTCATATCAAGTGCATACACAGGATGCATCATGATATATTTTGGTCATGTAAGTCATTTATCGCTATTCACACAAGAGACGTCTATAAAATATAATGCCACCTGAAAATGCTGCACTTCTTGTGCCAAACGCTGTTGCCGCCATTCTGTACTTGAAACTCATGGGAAAGTGATCATCGTAAGTGATCGAAATCGATATCCAAAGATCAGGAATTTGCACACAGAGGCCATTTGCCTTTCCACCGGTGTTATTGTCTCCAAACAATCTCATCCTGTACTCCATTCGCATTGTTGGCCGCAACGTTGTTTGCGACAGAATATTCCGTCATCCAAAAGTTGTCGGGTTCTTCGACATTTATGGGCAAAAAAGTGCTGCTCTCGTCAAATGGTATTTGAAGATTATTCTTGATCTCGGTTGGATACCCTGTCATAGGTAGACCTTGGTTTGAAGGTGTCAATGGCAGAAATTCGCTGGAGCTTGGTTTCATGAATTCCTCAAGTCCAAAAGTCCCAACATCATTGCTTGCGAGCATCTGCATCTGTGACACGTCGAGATAGGATGACGTCGTACTTAATCTGTATCTTTCAATTTCTCCACCAAATTCTGATGCATCAAGATCAGACCCGTATTGGTTATTTTGATTGTTCATCAATGCAGGTCTGGAAGGATCTGAAACACCCATAAAATCTTCGATTTCTGATTGCTCCCCAGAGGTTGATGTAGTCGTTAATGCTGGATGATCGATACTAGAAAAGTCGAATCCATTGAATGATGCCGCTTGGCTATAAGAAGAGGCTGCGAAATTATCATCGTTGAAATTTAATCCCGGGTAATTACTCCAGTCGACAGAAGCGGAGCCGATTCCGGCGGAGAATATCGGTTGTTCGAAATCTTGGATTGCCCCACCGTATCCATCGAATTGATATATGTTATTGTAATCGGGGGTCGACATATTCGTTATATCCAAAGGTGGCAATTGACCATTTACTTGGTGGAAATTTGTTGTTGGGCTGACGAGTGGCGATGCATGCTCGGACTTGATCATTCGCTGCTCTTGCTGAGCACTCACTATAGAGTCTTTGATTTGAGATTCGCTGTGTAAGGTATCGATAGCGTTCGTGTGTGGTAAATTATCAACAGACCTATTGGCCAGACTCGATGACGATTGTCCATGGATTGAGTGTGCTCGGGGCACGGTGTATGGAAGACCACATTTGTGAGCCATATTGTTATTCTTGTGTACGGGCTTGTGGTGACCATTTGTAAATATTGTCAAATTGTTTTCCGATTGGGTGGTCTGCGCGCGGGGTCGTCTTGGTTTGGATACTGGTATAGACATCGAAGGAGTTTCATCAGAGTCGGACTCGGGTACTGGAGGGAGATGATCACTTTTCAAAGCGCAAGTGCATCGGGCTCCATGGCTGCAACAACAGGTATCTGCTTTAATCATGTCAGAAACTGAGATTGTTGTGCCAGGAGTTTGTCGTAAAAGCTCACCCTGTGTATCTCCATTCTCCGGACAGGATCCTTTCGAATGTGCCTTTTCTGAACCGCATTCACATCGAACATGTGCTGCTCTGGATTTGCGCAATGTTCGACAATGAGTACATTGTGAGACAGGACGACCCTAGACAAGTCTGGTTAGCAAGATCGGCACAACAAAATACAATTAGTATACCTTTTTATTGATGTGTTGCAGAGGTCTGTCTGAATGATGACAATTGCTAACACGATGACCTCTGACACAAGCATCACAAGCCCACTTTTCTCCGTCGATGATCATCGTGAAGAGAGATAAATCGAGCGTGAGATATATATTTTAGGTAAGAGTAAGGATAAAGTTGGACGACCGTCAACAAGTCGTCACTGGTAACAAGATGGGAAAAAACCACCCTCAAGATGATAGATGAGATCTGTAAGAAATTGTATGCAATTCAATTGAATTGCTGAGTCGATAATAGATCGAGTCGAAGTAAATAAAAGTCAAGAGAGCAATATGAGAAATTGCTCTGATGTATAATAAAAGTAAAATGCCGCTGCCGTGGTATATGGGGTATATGCCCTTTGACTCCAAAATTGAATATTTGATCCAACGCCGGTAAGATGCGATATCCGAGAACAGAAAATTGAAGGAAGATGGAGGGGAGATTTGTTATTTTTTTGAGCTTTTTATTTTATTTTACAATGGCAGAGCCTTGCACCGTCTGGCGCCGGCTTAGAACAGCGGGACACCGAGGCCGGTTTGGCTTTACCAAATTATATGGTTATGTTCCTTTTTTTGGAGGACAAGTTGAAATGTGAATAGATTGATAGAAAACTGGGCGATGAAAATGAATTATATGAGGAATACGGTGACCCTTAACCCACAGTATTAAGATTTGGGTGTTTGTGATTGAAACGAACCAAAGACGCAGTTCGATCAGTTCGTTGGTTTATGGTGTGGCCAGTGTGTAGCGTGTACGGGATGAGGGTAATGAGGGTAATGAAGATTGCGTGGGTGGGCGAGAAGTGGGCTGGGTCTGATCGCTTGTGCTTGTAAGAAGGAGTTGGTTGGTGTTTATTGTTCTTGCAAGGGGGGGCGTGGTGGGCGTGAAGAGAGACGGGAGAAGTGAGTGGTGGGAGTGAAAGGGAGTGGTGTTGGGAGTGAAGGTGAGTCGTGGTGGGAGTGAAGGAGTGGGTGGAAGAAAGAGTAGGTAGCCAGGTAGTAAGGGTTTATGAAGTATTTCATGGTCTAATGTTCCCACTATTTTCGACAAAGTAGTAATTGTTTGGTTAGTCTCATCGAAGCGAAACACTTCAATTTCATTCATCGAGTTCATTATTCGTTCATTATTCTTTTACTACCCATACTCCTGTCTTTTCATTGATCGTGAATCGAGTCGAGTCAAGTCGAGTCAAGTCAGGTCAAGTCAGGTCAAGTCAAGTCGAGCCAAATCAAGTCACATCAAGTCACATCAAGTCACATCACGCAGGTTTGGTGACTGTGCTCTTTGCACCCTTTGCCAGCGAAAGAAAGGATGAATGATGACCACCTGCCTCTGCTCATCAATAGTTTTGTCATATAGGCTGGAAAGAATTCTTCTCTTTACCGGTATTCCCCTGCTTTATTAGCTGCGGCTACTACAATGCCACACCACATAGCACCTACTCCGTACAATGTGTACTTTACTACCCGTATCCGACTACTCACATGCAGATATCTCACAATCTTCAATCCGCAATCTGCAATCTACAATCTACAATCTACAAGAATTCAATATATGAAAGACCCAGTACTTACTCGGCGCCAAATTCTGATTTGCATGTACGAAGCTTCAGCCGTCAGTTTCTGGGCGGTGGCTCCTCTCCTCTTCGTTTGATTTGAAGTCTGAACAGTCAATCTGGAAGACTATAGAGTAGGACTGGCTTCACTATCTGTCTCCCGGTCCAAAGTTTAAAACGTCAAATTATTTTGTAACCTAATGGTGGCATGGCGGCTTGGAGAACTCCATATACGGGCAGGTCAAGATTAGGGTTAAGAGAAATAATATCAAATCAGAGCAGAAAGATTATCGGAATCCACAATCCATCCACAAAAACCTACATTTAGCCAGCATAGTTTACTTCCCCGGAAACGGTTTTGACTTCATTGATACATATTTCTCTTGTCAGCTAATCTAAGTAAGCATTCACACATGCAGATAAGCAAATAGAGGATGGATGTTTTTATTTTGCAACAATCGATTCAACCACCGATCAGTTTGCCCGATTACTGGCTCACCACATGAACGAATTGCAAAGCCTCGTCTAATTCGGTCAATGAAGGAGTTCCATCAAGGCATTCATTTCCAGCCAACTTCAAACATCCCTCATTGGGAATCCATCGAAAAATATCGAGTATTCATCGGCCCACTATCAACATCTAATCGCTCTCTTTTCACGCCTTGCCTGGAAAACATACATTTGAATACAATAAATGCCTTTATGGTTACTGTACACATTCTTCAAGGAAGATATGCAAGCTATTCACACATCCCACTACACCTACAGATCCCCATGAATCAGCATTGACAACAACGACTCAGCCCCAAAACTGATACCCACCCCGTATAATTACCGTTTTTCTGACGGTCCGGAATATCAGTAACCCAAGATAGTCGACGTTACACCAACTTCCATGTATCATATTTGATATGGCTTGACATGATGTGCATGCAAATAATGGTGACGAAGAACAATCGGAATTTCTACGGGACGGGAATGATATCCTCCTATCTTACTTCATGGCTCACGCACGCACCACGGTTGAACGGAGAAAACAATCTATAATAATAGCACGTACACAATCGATGTTCATCTCCCGAAATATTTGTCTAGCTATTTGACGATCTTGTCACTAGTTCTACGGCAGTCGGTAGACGAGATCGAGTCCTTGAAATTTACAATTTCCTCAACTCGAGACTAAAGAACCCTCAATAAAAACTTGGTATGACAAACAGGCCTTCATTCACATTAGCGCTGTAGTGCAATGCATGGTCGACGAGCCCACCAGAATGCTGGGATTTTAACGCTGAAGTTATGGGATACTCGAAAACTTCGTGCAACATACGAATTTTAGAGTTGCCACGTTCGAAGGCAGCTGCATGAAATTATGCGCAAGGGAGGAGCTCGCCTGGCTCCTTGTACATATCAAATGAACTTCAACCCCACGAGGAAAATCCAGAGGAACGATCAAATTTGATGTGCGTGCTGCGCCCTCTTCGTCATAATATGACTGATATCAACCATCATTTAATTGGTGGTACAATACTCGGATGCCACGATGCTCTATGGTGATGAAAACCGAATCTGAAGTGTAATATGATCATCTGCTCACCTGCACTTCTTTCACTTTGAACAATCACACGGATCGATTATTCTTGTTTGTTTACTTTGAAATGACAAAATGCTGTAGGTACAAAATTGCTACGGGGGTCAATCGAGCTCCTTAAACTATGCATTACATGTTGTATCTTTGCAGTCTTGCATTGATAGAATTGATCGTCCCACAAGCGAATTGAAATTAAGGGATGGACCCGAGAACGAGATTTCAGTAGGTACTCAGCTCCAATGTTTTCCTCAATACCTACCTACAACCCAGATTTCCACATTTTACATTCTACCCGGGTATTCAAATTAAACCACAAGATCAGAACAATCAAACATTCTCTCTCGCGCGAGTCTCGCGCTACCCGCTCTCAATTCAATTTCATCCATAGTCCTCAATCCTTCTCCCATATGCAATGTTTACATTGCCTACAGAACCAACTAATGCAGATGCAACCTGCTTGTAAGCTTCAAAACCACAACCCCACGCATCAAAGGTCCTCGAACTCAAGACCTTAAACTTAATCTGTATTCTCCTCCGACCTCCGCGAACAAGATGCACGCAAACAGGGCAAGCAAACAGGTTCTCACCGCCAGAGATACTCGACAAAATGAATGACCTGCGAAGTAAAACGAACCAATAGAATAAATACCTCATTTGTGTCACGTGGACTGCATGTGCAATCCATCCTTCCTCGTGGACTTGCGGCAGGTAGGTCGAGCATTTCCGATTACGAGCAAGTGAGAAAACCCTGGATTCTCAGAGGTGCAGTGCATCATCCAATCATATCTGCATACTTCTAAAAGCAGAAGGAGATGTAAGGGTCCTAGATTTGCACTACTAGGTCGAAGAAATTAAAGACCGCGGCAGCAAACTCAAATCAAAATTATCAAATAAAAAATAACCCACGTGTTGCCAAGTAAACCAAGAGCCATCTGGATCTTGATGGACAATAGTAAATTAGTAAATTAGTCAGTGGTTTTATGAATGAGATCGAAGGACGATTGTTCAATTGCCGTCGCTATTGATGTTTATAGGAGACAAGCTTTTTTGGCAGGTAGGTCGGTAGGTGCATTGACGTCCGTGGATGATAGGGTGATGATGAATCAGTTCCGGATTCCGAGGGGTGCACAAGGTGGAATGGGAGGATGGGAAAGTATGTGCTGGATATGATTATGTTTGGATGTATATTTAGAAAGATTACATACCTGGTAAGTAAAAAGTAATGTCATCATCACTGACTCGAGATAATGATACCCGTCTTACTCTCTTTCTATTATTTTCTTGTCGTGAGTATAGCAAGATTCGTTTGCATTTTCACATACTGGGTGATTAGACACCTGCTCGGAGATATCAAACGTGTGATCTGATCTTACAATGCGCATCGACCGTGGCGTGCGTGGGTATACCTTCCATCCATCTCCTGCCCGGGCATCAAATGATCTCGAGTCTGAGCGCAACCTCAGCCTACGAATTCGCTTCCAAAAATCCGGGACGGAGATACCCACGAGGATCTTCGCTGATGGTTTTTATAGTTGGAGAAACGGGATTATCCATATCTGCAATGAGAATACGCACAACCGAGATGATTCATTTGGATAGTGGAAATGCTTAGTGCTTTGCATTGACCTGTATAATAGGTAATCTTGAGGTAGTCAGGCGAAAAAAGCGAAAAAACCCCTTTCCATGCGAGCCATGTAACCGAACACTACCTACCTAGGTATACTTCATATATTTTATACACGAAACATTTGAATGGGTAGCAGAAATGCAGAGGTGGATAGATCAATGCGCCCCCACGGAATCTACAGTATCGCGGAATACTCACGTTGTACGGAATCTGTACGATATGACTCGGACTCCGATTCCGGTAGATACACTTGAAAGGTGGAAAATGTCACACGATGTGTAGTTCATCATTTGTGCGTCACTCCAAGATGGATTATTGTTTGATTGTTGTATTAGTACTAAGTAGTGAGGTATCATAAAGTATACTCCGCGAGTGAACCGCCCTTGTTTCATTGTTTTATTATTTCCTCCCCTTCACTTTCCTTCTTTCCGGTCAGCACTCCTCCTGTGCATCTCATGTGGTTATTCTGCTGGAAGTTTCCTAGCACTTATTTTCTTTATTTTGTATCCCACCATCACCCGTTTGGACGCCGAGATTCGTGAGAAGACAAGTTTAAGAAGCCTTCTTGGCGCTGCCGGGTGCAGCAGTAACAGGTCTTCCTTGACTACGTTGATAGACGGTGTATGTGACGAAGGCAGCGCCGAGAGCGACGACGATAACTAAGTTGCCTGTTTGAAGAAAATATTTAGCTTGTGTTTTGATTGTTTCACCTATTTTTCTTCCAATTGCCTTTCCATTTCCTATTCTACTATTTGAAAGAAGAAGAGTATACATACTCAAGAGGAACTTCACCAATCCCTCAAACGTCTGCGCAATACCCGCGATAGCAGAACCGATTGCTGCGAAAAATGCATTGATGAGGCCGAGAATCGTGTTGAGGATTGATTGGAGGAAGGCGATGATGGAGCTGAAGGCTGCGATGATAGTGTTGAAGATGGAGGAGACGAGGTTTGTGAGGGATTCAACGAGGGAAGGCATGGTTGCTTTGATATTTGCTGTTGATTCGAGTTGGACTGGGCTAGATCGTGTCGTTCTATTTGATTTGATTTGATTTGTAATTGGATTGCGATAGAACTGAATCGTAGATAGATTAAATATATCCTGAACTAGAACTAGAATTGTGTAGATGTGGCGGTGATATCTATCAATTTATACCTGCTACCACCTGCATCCATCGTTTTCACCTTTGTGGCGTCACTTATCGAAGATGACCTCATTGTCGTGAGCAAACAACCAGACAAAATCAAAGCAAGGAGCAACTGTTCCTATTTTATTGCAAGCATCTGCGTCATATCAAAAACCTGTTTGCAGCCCTATCACCGTCAACCGTTTATATCCAATTTCCGCATTCTTTACCACGCCATTTGTACCCTGTCGCCTGCCACAATTAGGAGCATTCTACCGTCTATCAAGGAAAACATGGCATTTCCAAACCCCATCTTTCATAAACAAGAAAGTGAATGTCTAAGTCCAAGTAACGAATCAAAAAGTCCATATTGTTTGACCAGGAAAGAATGATCCTCACAGGGTTGGTCGCCATGCTCGTCATTGTTGCTAGGGCTTTGTGGGGGCGGGCGCTAACGGACGCCAAGGCTTGGCGTTTGAGGATGGAAGATTTTTGGTTTGGGGGAAGCGATTTGAGGTGACGAGGCAGAGATTAAGAGAAATCATTTGGGGATAAGTTTACTTTGTGTACAGATACTTGGTCACAGAGTTCTAGGATCAAGAAAGCTGAAGTGTCCATAACTGCAATTTTGGGTCGACGCACCTTGAGAAGTTTTTCAAGAAACTGGACCCCAATCCTTCACACAAATTCTTCTTAAAGAAAATGGCACCATCTCAACCCCTACCCAAAAATTGGCCCTCTCAGATCCCATATCTGATAACTCCCACATACTGCACAACAATGACCCCTTCACATCTGAAAATTCTCCGCACGCCGACTGCAGACTCGCTTCCCATTCCCACTTCTCACACTAAAGGCCCCTCATCCCTCGTCAAAATTACGCCCATCAATGACCCCTCTCATCCCGCCAATGGCCAGAGTGGATTATTCGCTACGAGAGACTTGAAACCTGGAACTTTCATTTTGCAGTACATCGGTGAAGTGCATGCACCGAGTTCTTTGGCGGATGAAAAGATCAAGAAGCTGGTAGAATGGCATGAGAAGAGTGATTATGATTTGAGTTTGGATCGAGAGGGAGGTATTGGGGTTGATGCACAAGCAAAGGGGAATGAAGCTAGGTTCATTAATGATTTCAGGGGGGTGACTATTGGTGGGGAGAGGGCAAGGGTTAACGCTGAGTTTAAAGAGATTTGGGATACTGGGAGGGGAGAGAGAGGTATGGGGGTTTGGGTCCTAGGGGAGAAGGCTGGTGGAGGGAAGGGAAAGGGTGTGGGAAAGTGGAAGGGGATTAAGAAGGGAGAGGAGATTTTGGTTAGTTATGGAAGAGGGTTTTGGGGAGCAAGAAGAGGAGAGGAGGATTGGACAGAGGCTGGAGACGAGACATTTGGAAACAGCCTGAAGACTTGAGATGAAATGACAGGTCACGCTTCAAATAGTGCCCGACACATTAGAAGATTCTGTCGACGGAGGTTGGAAGTCATCGAAACCGAGGGTATCACCAGGCCATCAGGAACAGCAGAATCAAGGAATTCAATCACCGGACCGGATTCGTCCAGCCATCGCTCCAACGCTCGACAGAGAAGTTCGAAATCATGGATGATGTTTGCTCATACTTGAAAAACAATTAAGATGGGAATCATATTCCACCGGCGATGATGAGCCCATTAAGAGAACACTGGGATGGCATCATCAGCCAAAAGCTTCGCTTGTAGCTATGTTAAAAGGGGCTAGCAGAAGACAGACAACTAGTTTGGATTCGAGTGAAGGTTCAGATACATTTGAAGACCTGCCCATATTGTTACAGTCATCATATAAAGTTCATCGTAGAAATTTGAATCTCAAGATTGGAAAATTATAGCACAAGATTACGTGCTTTATAACCTGGGGTTTCAATTAGCATAACAACCAATAATACAGCGTGCTTCTAGCTTCTTTTGAAATTCGATTTATGATAGAAAATGTCGAGAATGTCGAGAATGCTTTGAGAATTGCATGAACATGTGGGTCCGTTTCCTTCACCGCTTCAGAAAATGGCTTTTGGAGTTAAAGCACGAATACATAAAGAAAGCTTCATGCCAATATATTAACTTTCCTCTCAAGCTTTAAACACTTCTTGTTTTAATTCTTGAAAATTGGAAGCTGCAAATCTTCAATTCTATATTACGTATCTAGGCAAGAGGTGATGACGGGAGGTAATAGCTCACGATGAGTCTCGTCAAATACTTGCCCCACGTTCAAGTCACTCCGTAAGCATGCTGCTAAAGTCGCGATTCCGATTGGCCAGGGCATTTATCGCGTCGCACAATATCAACGGTCTTCACATTGTGCGATACATTTCCAATAACCATATCGATACTGACTCAATTATTTCAACTTGAACTAACAGAAAGACTACATATTTCATTCCAATTTCAATCGAATACATAAGATTGGCCAAAAAAATCAAACTCGACAGGTATCGTAGCTTGTACGACTTTCATCAATCGCATAAGCACCCCCGCTGCACAATCGCCCAAATCACCTTGGACTATCGATTAAGACGTCTGGCAGATCAAGACCAGACTTTATTTCTCTTCTATTTTATCAGGAGTCTTCCTCCACTTCATAACACCTTTAAAAACGCCGTGTCCCTCTGAGGCCACAGCTAGGTGTTCATTGAAGTAATCGGAAGATATCCTTCTTGCCACCCTTATCCACACATGAGCAATCTTCTCTGGAAATATTATCTCGAAGATGACGTCGATAAATTTCGACGCATATTGGCAAACGTCGCCAACCCATCGCATACATTGAAAGGACATGGCGGAGGATCGGCATTTTCCAGTAGCTTTGGGAATAAAATAGGAAGTTCTGGCGGGTTGGGAACGTCACCGAAGACTTTCGGCAAGAGTCGCAAGGCTTCTGGTCCTGCTGGAAACATAAATGGGATCAAAGGGCAGGGAAATGCGATCAGTCGAGCGGAGTTAAATAGCAGAGATCATGCTGGGTTAACAGTTCTGCACCGAGCTGCATCTTCAACAGCGGTGAATGCAATAGAATTCGCCACCGCCCTTATCGACCATCCCTCTATCGACCTCTATATACAAGACACAGAAAGTGGATGGACAGCATTGCATAGGGCTTTGTATTTTGGTAACGTCACGATTGCTCGGGCAATCATCGAAAGGGACTCAAAGGACCGCGCTACTGGAAACACAGGAGCCAAGCCGGACTCGTCAGTTATCAAGATCAAAGATCGGGAGGGAAACACCCCTTTTGATGTCTACAATGCGACCATCGCACCACGATCGATCCGGGAATACATCAGAGAGCAAAGATTGCGCCGCCATGAAAGAGATGACGACTCTAATGACGGTGATTCTGAGCTGCTCAAGATTGATGTGTCAGAACCCGAAAGTATTGATGGGGATGAGCTTTTTGCTTTTGGTAGCAACAAAAACTTTTCACTGGGGTTTGGTGATCAGGATGATCGCCAGTATCCGGAAAGGATAACACTGAAGCGTCCTGACCGATTACTCTTTCAGTTTTATGAAAACTACCTAGACTCTGTCCATCATGACAATCCTGTCGCGGTCCACGAAAGCTTTCCTACCACTGTATCGGAGCTTCCCTCCATGATCCAAAACAGGCCTATTATAATACAAGATGTCGTTCTTTCCAAGTTGAGTAGTGCTGTCTTAACTACAGATCCAGAATCAAACCTTTACATGTGTGGCTTTGGTCCTGGAGGTAGATTAGGGATGGGAGATGAAACCACTCGCTTCAATTATGTGCCAGTGAACCAGGGTGGCTTAGCAGGGAAGAAAGTCTCGACCGTTGCTCTCGGTCAAAACCATACCCTTGCTGTATCATCTGAAGGAGAGATTTTCAGTTGGGGCACAAACACTTGGGGCCAATTAGGCTACAATCTACCTCGCCCTGCATTAAAGGATGAAGAACCCTTTTGCACAACTCCGCGCCAGATTTTTGGACCTCTGAAAAGAGAAAACATTGTCGGTATAGCTGCATCTGCTATTCATTCAGTGGCTCATACATCTAGCTCACTGTTCTGTTGGGGGAAGAACGAAGGACAACTAGGCCTTATGGATTCAGATTCCCGATCCTTGGAGGCTCAACTAGTACCCCGCAGAGTTGCGGCATCCCTATTCAAGTCATCGATCGTTAAAGTTTCAGCTATCAACAGTGCAACAATTTGCCTTCTGGAAAACCATACAGTCTGTGTTTTTACGAATTATGGTTATAATATGGTCAAATTCCCGTTACATGAAAGCTTCACAAACTACTACCTTCAAAGCACTTCATTCACAACCCGATATGACAACGAGTCTAACAATATCACTAATATTGAGTCTGGTGGAGACACAATTGCAGCCATTTCTGGTAGAGGAGATTTATACACTTTGAATGTAAGGAAGGTTGATACAAAGGTTGCGGCAGCTTCAACAACCAACCCCTCAAAAATCAAGGAAGCTCTATCACAACCGCAGCGAGTCTGGTCACTCCGCAAGGGTAACTGGGATGGAATCAAGTCTGTTGGTGTTGCCGAAAATGGATCCGTCATAGTTTGCACTCAGGCTGGTGCCGTGTGGCGACGTGTCAAAAGAGCTAAGAATAAGGATTCTTTCACTGGGAATAGTGATTATGATCGCAAGGATTTCAAATTCCAGCGGGTCCCTGGACTTACCAAAGTAGTTGCTGTCAGAAGTAATCCTTTTGGTGTATTTGCGGCGATCCGCAAGGACTGTGACGTGACTAGGACTCAAGTGAGGGTTGAAGATGAGAAATTGTTGGAGGATCTTGAACCATTGTCAAGCATCAAAGATCTGGTTGCCTCAGAGTATCCAGCAGAACAGCATGCAAAATGGAAGGATCGCTTCGAACATTTGGCATCTGAATATGGGTCTGTTATGGCAGCAGTCATTACATCTCCGGACCTTGAGGGCGACGTCGAACGCTTGTTCATGGGTCAGAATTTTGATAGCAGCTATGATATTGAGATCTGTAGCAGCACATCTGACATCGCAATACCTGTCCATAGCTTCTTGGTTGCAGGTAGATCTTCTGTTCTAAGATCACTTCT